TATCTATAATATATAAAAACATAAAATATATTTCAATTTAATAGTTTCATTTTTTAGCAATTGAGTAATATTGATTTTATTAAATCATATTGTGATATACTCGTAGTATGTATATATATATGTATATAGAATCAACTTGTTGTTTTTTAAAACTCATCAAATTTATTTGGCCAATACGCGTGCCGAAACATTATGTGCGATCCAAGCAGAAAAACAATAACAAATTGTCAAAATACGTGAACATATTTGGGTATCTCAGTACGGCCAACCGTCTATCTGTCTTTCTGTCTGTCCATCTGTCTTTTTGTCTGTGTGTTCAATTATCTCTTGGCGGCACTTTTGTGACGCATGAAATTTTAATGAGCTTGCGGTTATTAAATGTAGATAGGTACACACCCCGTTTGTTGAACCCGTCTCTTGGAATTTCTACTATGTTTTTCACAGCGCACATTTAAAAGCTTTTTACGTTGCCTTTGGTACTCAACTGCAGTGGGGAAGCCCCTATTTTAGGCTGTCTGTAAAGCCTAAATAATTGTTTGCGAAAATTGTTGAAGAGCTTACTCTAGCTACAAACAGTTACACAAATTAGTTTATTACATATTGCAAGAGCTAAAGTTAATTCGACTTTAATTCAGCTTGAGGGATAGTTTTGATTATTTGATTAATCAAAGTCGATAAAGTTAAAATAAATTTAAAAAGTTAATATAAAAGTTAAAATAAATTAAGCTTATAGAATATATATAGAAGAATAAGAAATAAATAAATTTGCAATCCTCAAATTTCAAAGGAATACCTTTAAGATTATCAAAATAAATAGAAGCTGAATGAATTGAATTTGTATGCCATAAAATGTTGAGAATAAACAAATTGCCAGTAATCAATCCAACATAGCATCAAGAGTAATGGGTTCCGTGTTTTTGCATAATCTCTACAAAGATATTTATCAAACTTAAAGTGGAAAATGTTGTTTGTTGCCTTAAAAGTCCTTGAGTTATGCAGAGTTTTGAAGGTTTTTTTTCCGCATGAAGTGAATATTTGGAAAAATTTTAAGATGGTAAATAGAAATCGATGTCGATCTCAAAATCGAATCCAAATACACTCGAGTTGTAGTTAGTAAAAATTTGATGCAATATTTGGAGCACCCTCTCAAAAAACAAACCAATTTCTTATTATTAAAAAAAATATAGTTACGACTAACATTTAATTTACATGGCTTAGCCGCATTTATTGTAGCTTAAATTGCATTTTTCTAGCTCCACTCATGGCATGCATAAGGTCTATAATTCCATTCACCGAACATTTCAAATTATTTAGCTCAACTGCAGCTTCTGCAAAAACATTCCCACACATTGAAGTCAATTGCTGGCCCACTTGATTCCGCATAAGCCATCTCATAGCTTCGCTTTACGAGCCGCACATCGACAGCATCATCGTGTTAAATCACACTTAATAAGCTGACCAAAAAGAAGTACGAAGCACCACAAAAAGCTGCTGGATGCAAACGCGCTCAAAGGTCACCTCAACCGGCTGGGCACGCAACGAGATCGAGCCATGCGAGCAGCGGACCGTTTACGCTGCTGCTGCTGCTGCTGCTATTCGAAAACAAGTTTCTGGTCATATCAATAAACATTCAATACAGAAACAACAACAGGCCACAAGTAGCTGGGCCAGCGATTGTTATGTAATATTGATTTTTTGGTACTAATTTATTTGTGCGCTGCGGCTGCTGTTGCTGTTGCTGGCGTGTGAATTAATTTTTGAAGAGCGGCTATTCGGCCTTGAAATCACTTTTAATTTACATTTCCACAGAAGAGAAGATAAATTAAAAATTTTTGAAATTTATGCGGAAATTTTACATTTTGCACATATCTGTGTGTTTTTTTTTTTTTTTTAGCTTTTTGACAACTTTTATTTGCTGCAATTTCCTGGCATTGTTTGAAAACTTATTCATCATGGCCTCATGCTCAATGCTTGTTGCCTAATGGCGCGATGACGCTGCTCGATGCTCCAATGCATTAACAACCGACGTAATTAAACCAATGTGTCGTGTCTCCCACAGTTTGTGGCTCGTAGGCGTGGCGCACTTATACGAAAGGCATTTATTCAGTTATTTTAATTGTGGCGCCTCCAAATAGAGGCAATCACATTTGTTTTGTGTTGGAGAAAACGTGGGACTCCAATTGAGGTAAGTGTTGGATATTTTTTACATATAAAAATATATCCATTATATTTGTTTGATTGTGGGAATTCAAGCAATGAAAGCAGAGCAAAGTTAATATTTAATTAGCTAAGAGATGCAAAAATATCATCAGATTTTGTAATAGGTACAAACTTTTGCTAGTGTAATATTATAATATAT